CAACAACACTGCCTCAGGTTTTTTAAAAAAATTGGTCGAAACCAATGTTGAGCCAGTTTGTTTCTCTGGATGTATAATCTTGGTCATTTCCTGAGGTTCCCAGCATCACAATTGCCAGTCGTCAGCCAGCTCGATTCACTTCACCCATTGTCGAGAAATGGTTGAAGACACTGGACTCTGTGAAGGCTGTAGGCTCCAATAACATCCTAGCTACATTACTGAAGAACTGTGTTCCAAAACCAACTGTGCCCCTAGCCAAAATGTTCCAAATCAGGTACAATACTGGCACCTGTGCAACAAAAGGCAGGACAAATCCAGTCCTACCTATTACCACACATCAGTCTACCACTCAGCAGCAAAATGAAATAAAGGCCAGCATTCCATTAGCCTTCTTGGTTATTTTCTGCATCTGTTCACAGCATTCTAAACACCTGAATCTCCCAAGTTTCCTTAGACATCCACTGTATTTAACTTCATACTAATTAGAAAGTATCCTGATCTATCCTTTTTCAGCCCAAAATGGATAACCTCACACTAGCCTACATTGAATTCCAATTGCCACAGTATTGTCCATTCACCAAGTCTATCAACACCCCTCTGTAATTTTAAGCTATCATCTACACTGTTGGCATATAGGGAACATGCATTTTAGCTTGGATATGTTTCATTTTTCTCTGCCACGATCAATTTAAATTGCTTTAGTTGCCAAGGGAACAACAGAAAATTAATTGTACAAGTGAATTACATAACTTTTACCATGAAATTTAAAATTTATATGGAACAATTTGGAGCACATAGAGAACTATATGTTGAAAATAAAATGATAAAATCGGGGAAAAATTAATTTTCACAAGCACACATTGAAAGATGGAGGTGAATCAGCTGTATACATTTGGAGAAACATTCTAGTAGTTTGATTATTATTTGAAAAATGATCATGGCATTTATCTGGTGCCCAAGATATTTTTAAATTTGCAACATTGCCAGTTGATGAATATCTGGAGTACTGGGGAGATGCAAGTGTTGTTTTATGTTTGTTGGTACACCTTTATTGCATTCCGTTAATGAAACTTGACACTGAAATTGAAGAGCAAATAAAAAGAAACAAACAATGATAGAAAGCTTCGAAAGTAAAAAGACAAAAAGGTTCATTGACAGATAGACAAAGAGAGTCAGGTAGAAGCTGAATGGCCGTATTAAAAGAGAAATATAATGAGTGTAGGAATGGCTATTATGACAGACAGGAAGAAAGACTGAAATTGATATGAACAGAAAACAGAATGTTTAAACTTAGTAAGAGTACACCCTGTAACTTTTAAAAGATAGAAGTCTTCTGAAACAAAGCAAGCAGAAAATGCCTTATTTTTGTGAAGGTAGTGCAGAGCACACAAGAACATAAACAGAAGACAAAATAATTTGAAAAGTCTTGATTAAGTCATAACTTCTAAAAGTGTGAGCTTTTAGAAGATGAACAAAAACTGCAGATGTGAACAGATCTGAGATGTGAACAAAAACACAGTTTAGAGTTGCAAAAACTGTAATGAGACTTTGTCAGAACATAAGTTAGAATAAAAGCTTAGGAAACTTTTGTTTGCCTGACACATTCAAGCCTTGTCCAGATAATATGGCTTCAGGTTGGTTCAGTAAAACTTCAGGAATCCTCAAGCATGCATAAGAGTTCTACTGGAATTCAACTGACTGAAATAATGCAGCTTACAGTAATAGACACTAGCATGCTTCCTCCCAGTTGGATAATTCTTACAGCAAAATGAATTGTATGTATGTGCAGAGTTTGCAGGCATTTTTCTTCATTGCAACCTCCACCAGCAAGGACAACTGCAGTAATATCATAGAAACGGCACCGTTTTGAAATTTTCACCCTAGTCATATATCATTGTTATTGTTTCATTATTATCTCTGAACAGTGGGGGATGATTACTTCATTTAGTTAGAGGGCTAGAGTGTGATACTATTATACTAATTATACTAATGGTGCAGGTTCAATCTTTGTATAGGCTCTGTTAATTCATAGAGTCCTGCCTCCTCACCTCGTCCCCACTTGGAATCTTCTTTCTTCCTTGACAGTCTCTAAGGGTCAAGGATGATTTGCTTCACTCAGTGGGGATGGGTTCTGTGGTGGCATAACTGTTCACCCTGGGAGGTGCAGACTCTGCTGGAGGTAGGGAAGGTGGTGTTTGGTGAGGCAGGTGGGTGGGATGCTCTGGATTCTGCATGATACTTCTAATGCTGGCTCTTGACCTCCACTCAACTCAGTGATGCTGAAAGTGACTGATGTTTCCTCTGTCCTCCTAATGATGGCTAACCATTGCAGAGCTCTCAGTAGAGCACTTGTTTAGGGAGTCCTGTGCTGGATAACGCTTTTCTCTATCTTCCTCGCCCCAACACTCGACTCCATCTCCATGAAGCTCCTACCGAAATGGAGCTAACCTACATGAAAAGCAGAAACCTGTTCAATCTTAAATGCCTTCAAGCCCATAACTAAGACCACCCCAACTTCTGTCATCAAGCTGCAAGGGAAGACACGTGCATGTGCACACACACAGGGAATGAGCTACAAACTGTTGTCAACGTGTTCACCAAGGCATATAAGAGAATAGGCCTCAGAATAAATATCTGGAAGATAATCATTCTCTATCAGCCTACTCCTGCCACAGAACACTGGCTTCCGACTGTCAAAATCCATGGCAATCCCCTGAACAATATACATCATTTCCCATGGAAGCCTCCTTTTGGTGTGAGCTGATATTCATGCAATCCAGCATTGACTCCAAAGTGCCAGTGCAGTCTTCAGACACTGAGAAGCAGTGTTTGAACTCCAAGACTGAAACCCAGCACTGAGCTCATGGTCTACAGAGCAACCATGGTTTCCAACCTCCTGTATGCATCAGAAACATGGACCATGTACAGAAGATACCTCAAATCCCTGAATAGTTATTACCAGCACTGCCTTCGCAAAATCCTGCCAATCCATTGGAGGATAGATGTACCAATGTAAGGGTGCTCTCCCAGGCCAATATTCCCAGTATCGAATCACTGGTCATATGCAACCAGCTGCCACATTGTTCACACCCAACACAAAACACCTTAAACAAGTGCTCTACTCCGAGCTCTGCAACTATGAGTGAACACTTGTGGAATAATGGCCCTCAAGCTGTATATGATCAAAATGTATCTCTCTCATGGACAGAGATGCCTATAGTTCTTTGTGAGCTATGACTAATTATCTTATCGAACACCTTGGTGGGAGTGACATTACAACAAGCACTGCAGAGGTTTAAGAAGGCATATGTGAATACGAATGAGGACAGAGACCAGATATGTTCCCAGAATTGCCCAAAATCTGAGAACATATGAAATGTGATATTACTCAAATCCTAAGACCAAATATAAAAAAAGTTATCTCACCAGCTTTGTGATATAAATCTGTTTACAGCATGCTGTAAAAACTTAAACCAGCTTACAACTGTGTAAGCTACCCTAAAGCTCAGGACATCTAAAGCAGCATTCCCTCTGTTAACCTGAACTGTGATCTTTTTACAGTAGGATTCACATCTGTGACTCTGGGCACTGAGTGGAATTGGTACCCACCTTAAATGAACAGTGAGGTTTGAAAGGTTCTAATCTGATATTTTTGAATAATAGCAGAGGTGGTTAAATGTTAACTGCTGAGCTATGGATTTGGACAGACACATGCATAGGAAAGGTTGATAGAGATATGGGCCAAACAAAGGCAAATGGGACTAGTTTAATTTGGGAAACCTGGTCAGCATGAATGACTTGGACTGAAAGTTATGTTTCCATGTTGTATAACACAATGACTCTCAATCTAAGTCCAAACAAGGCTTGCTGAACAAATATGTGGAAGTTAAGTGATGTCCCACCCATTATGATACTTTCCTCCTTCAGAGTATTCAATTAGTTGTCACATTATATGTTGGAATTCCCCTTCCTTCCCTGCTCCAAACTTTTATGAATCTCTTAGGTTGATCATATTTTGCACAGAGGCCAAATTTCTGTGTGCATGCTTAGGAAATTTGAACAATACAAGAAAAATTGACAAAGGACTTAAACATCATGATCATATTATGTATTGAGTCTGAATTGACCTCTGAAGGGCATCCCACCCAGACCTATCCCATCTCTGTAATCTTGTATTTCCTATGGTGAAACCATCTACCCTGCACATCCCTGGAGCCTACGGGCAATTTAGCATTGTCTAACTCGCACATCTTTGGACTGTGGAAGGAAACCCACGCAGACACAGGGAGAACGTGCAAACTGTACTTAAACAGTCACCTGAGGCTTGAGTTGAAATTGGGTACCTGGCGCTGGAAGGCAGCAGTGCTAACCACTGAGCTACCGGCCCTCCACCAATAATTAGAGCAGGTTAAACAATGCCAAGAGTTAAGTTTTCTGTGAAATCTACAATGTTAACAGTGAAAATCAATTTATGGCTGAAGAAGGATACTGAGCTTCTTCAGCACCTTTCGCAACTGATGGCTTGCAACTGTACCGTTGGTTAAAAAAATCTATAGGTGTAAACAGGAAAAGCAAAATCATACCAACAGTTGCGATCTAAAATCAAAATAAAAGGCAGATTTATAATTTGAGATTCTTGGGTTCCCACGTGGCTGATGGAAAGATGAGATGCTGTTCTTCCACCCTAACTCCAGTTGCACTGAAACAGTGTAGGCTGCCAAGGTCAGTGAGTTCCGGGTGAGGGTGTTAAAATGATAGGAAGTTTGGTGGAGTGCGAGTGTTGGCGGACGGAGGGGAGGAGTTGCAGTGATCGCAGTCTCTGTCGTTCCACCATAGGGGGCTTCGTCTGGCGGCGAGTCAACAATGTGTCACCAAGCAGCTTCACAACCAAATGTGATAGTCCGAGACCGATGATTGACGTTCAGTCGAACCATACAAACTCGTCACTTGGTACTAAAACCACCCATCGGAATGAGGAGGGCGGGGCTTTTCATGTCTGGTCTCGCTCACGGGAGCTATCTGGTTTGGTAGACCGGTGCGAACGGTTTGCTGGTTTCCTATCGAGGCCGAGTGTCAAGTGGTTCTTTGCTCCAATTAGATATCATCTTATAGCTCAGGGATCAGGCCGTAACACCTATTCATTTACTGGGTGATCCGGCCAGGGCTTTGTTTGTTTATTTATTCACATTACGACGGGCCTGATTACGTTTTATAAACGGTCTGTTGCAGCATTTAAACTGTTTGCAAGGTTAACGGGTTGGGCGGCGTGGTGGTCGAGGCCTTCAGCTGGTGGCGGCGGCTGCAGCAGTCGGTGCTCGCAGGTCGCATTAACCGGATCGGCCGCGTTGTGCCTCTCGCCTCCTCGGGCTGTTTGGCGGGGCCTGGCCATGCCTGTGAGGAACAAGTCCAAATCGTCGAACAGAGAAAAAAGTCAGAATGTAGATCCTGGTACGACGACAACAACAACAGCGGACACTTCGGAGCAGGGACAGGAGGAGGAGGAGTTCAATCCCGAGAAGAATCGAGGCGATCCGGACATTGTCAAATCTCCCAGTGACCCAAAAGAGTACAGGTAAAAGCAGCCTGAACGACATGCTTCCCACAGCCAGCCTGCTCCAGTTTCTGCAGTTAAAAAGCACAATAATGTGAATAAATAATTGTATCCTTACCCATTCGTGCTCGGAATGGGTAAGCTACATTGTAATCAAGAGATGTGACCACCACCTTTCCCTGGGAAGGTGCTCCCATGGAAATGTTTTCTCGTTCGAGAAAACGAAGATCTGGGAACAAGTTGCTGACTTGGTTTGAGTTAGAGTAGAATACGTTCAGGAAGCATTTTTATCACATTTCGGAAGCTTTCAAATTCAAGAAATCACAAACGTGATCGTGAATGCTATACAGGCAAACGTAGCAATATTGGAACCGTTCTTTACGCCAAGGTAGAAAATTAGTTACTTATCACTCGCAACAAAGAAACAATATTTTGGTGGGTGAATAAGTAGTTGGTACTTCCAACGAGTCGAACGTTTTGAGGGATCTCTGTTGTAAAATTATTTGAAGACATCAGGATAGGGATTTATGCAAAGATATGCTTTGGGAGGAAATGATTCTGAAAATTAGAAAATTTTTAACATGGTCACTTTTCAAAAGCAATGTCTATTTAAGTATTTGCTTAGAACTAGTTCTTGTGAGGCAACACAGTGTGGAACTGGAGGAACACAGCAGGCCAGGCAGTATCAGAGGAGCAGGAAAGTTGACGTTTCGGGCTGGGACACTGCTGTGTTTCTCCAGCTCCACACCGTGTTATCTCTGACTCCAGCATAGGCAGTTCTTACTATCTCTTGTGAGGCAAGTTGTTTCTTATGATATGTGCAATGGATGTTAAGATGGGATGTGATTTACACATCTGTGTAGTGAATTAGTGTACCGTGATAAATAGTGTCCCACAATTGCTTCACTTTTGTTTTAAAATTATGGATTATTTATTACATTGACTAAAAATAGATATTTGTTTAAATTATGATTTAAATTAAAATATGGATCTCTGAGTGGTTTTACATGATTTCAGAGTGTAATGTCTTATGCCACATTATTACCTATTTTGGTTCAATGCTAATACTTTTTTCCTTCCTTTACAAGTTTTTTGGGTTCAAAACAAACTGCAGTGATTTAAGCACATAACTGAATCTGAATTTTTAGTATAGTAACATCCAATCAGGAAGATGATACCTCTGACAGTACACTACTAGAAGAGTTCTGTATTGTTGAGGTGTCATTTTGTCTGATTAGATGTTAAACCATCTTAGTTCTCAGATGGGTATAAATTATTCCATGGTACAAATCTGAGAAGAGCAAGGGAGATCTCTCTGCACCTAACATCTATCCCTTGTGCAACACAAAAAAATAAATGATATAGTGATTTATCTTGATATTTTGGGCTCCTCTGGCTTACATATGTACCACATTTACATATCAACATTACTTAATTATATATGAAGTGCCTTGGCAACTGTACAAGATGCTGGAGAGATTACATATGGAGTACTGGAAGCAGTTTTGGTTCACTTAATTAAGGAGAGATTTTATTTCATTGGAGCCAGTTCAGAGAAGGTACCTTAGTATAATAAAAACCAAAAGAACTGTGGATGCTGTAAATCAGGATCAAAAACAGAAGTTGCTGGAAAGCTCGGCAGGTCTGGCAGCATCTGTGAAGAGAAAATCAGAGTTAACGTTTTGGGTCCAGTGACTCTTTGTTTTTGTACCTTAGGATGATCCCTGGTATGGAGAGATTGCCTGATGAACAAAGATTAAACAGGTTGGGCCGAGAGGATGTTTCCCCTTTTGGGAGAATCTAGGACCAGAGAGCTGGCCTCAGAAAAAGGGGTGCCAATTTAAGACTGAAATGAGAAGGAATTTCTTCTGAGGGTTGCAAGTCTTTGGAACTCCTTGTCCATAGAGCTGTGGGGACAAAGTCCTTTGTATATTTAAGGCTGAGACAGTTGGATAGATAGATAGACAGATAGATTGTTGATCAGTAGAGGAATCGAGGGTTAACGAATGTGGAAGTGAGGAATGTTGGATCAGTCATGACCCTGTTGAATGGTGGAGCAGGCTTGAGGGGCTGAACAGCCTATTCATGTTTCTATTACTTGTGCACTTATGGATTTTCTCAAGATGTACGCACACACTCGTGAATATAGGAGCCATAGCTGGACCAAAAGTAAGTGAGAGTTCAAATTAGTTTAAAAATATTAACTTGGTTAAAAATTTAGTATTCTGGTATTGGCAAAATCAACTGTGGGATTGACAATCCAATTTGCTCGCTAAATAATTTAGTAAAGAAAATATGCTGCTCTTGTGTCTGATTCTTGAGCACTTCCTGAGGCAGCCATATTGTAACAATGCAGTTGCTCCAGGTGAATATATAAATTCACTGTTACAGTGCTGTTTTACACTTAGTGTAATAAGTGAAATACATCTACATCTCTGAGAATTGATACTCTGGGTGAGTATGGAAGTCTTATTTTGTTACCATATAACTTGCAAGGAATGTTGGCGATTAGTGCAGATCAAGTAGCATCTGGGGAGTTGACTTTAGCTCTCATCTCTCCACAGATGTGTTTAGCATTTCATCCAACATTTTCTATATTTCAGATTTTCATCATTTGCAATGTTTCCACATACAATAGATTTGTATTATTTGTGATGTTTATTGAATGCTCTAAAATGTTCCTCCAGTAGGATACTCATTCATACAACTGTGTTGAATATTGTTAAAATGTGATTACCCCACTGCCCCACTGACTTGAGTCATAATTCGACAGAGCTTTGCACGTGAGTGTGACCAGTATTGTTACACTGCTGTCTTTCCAACTTATTGTAATAGATCTATATTACCATATACTTTCTTAAACCACAGAAGTTTTGTTAAAATTTCTTTTGACTTGAGATGTAACACAGAAATGATACACACAGAAATAATATTTAGTGATGAAAGTGGAAGAACCCACAAATGTAAGATCCCTACAGTGTTGCTACAAACTGCAAGCAAAGCTCAAGCAGTATGTCAGCCTCGAATTCTCTAATTGTAGAATTAAAATTTGTTTATGTTGGTTGGATTGATCTTTTCAACAAATTTGACAGAATTAACATTTTAGGTTTCCGTCCTTTTAGAAATGCATAGTTTAATCTATACCCCTATTGGCCTAGCATATTGAAGTGGCACTTTGTGACTGTCTCCATGTGCTCCTAAGTTATTTGGAAAATTTGTCTAATTTCACTTTTAAATTTTGGACTGTTTAAATATCATAATTTGAGCTGGTGGGTCCAAACTGTGTTGTTCAGTCTCCTGATTAGCAAAACACTCTCTACAATCTTTGTTTAAAAAAAGACCAGGTTGGTGTAAATCTTATCTACTAAACACATTTTGATGTTTGGACGTAAAATTAATGAATCTCCAGTATTCATTCAGTAAAGCGCCTATAGCTTTAGGAATGTCGCTACAAAATTAAGTCATGTTGTCTGGTCTAAACTTGAAATAAAAAAAAAATCTTTTCAGCAGACCTGGCAGTATCAGTGGAGAGAAAAACAGTTGACGTTTCAAGTTAGACCATAAGAAATAGGAACAGAAGTAGGCCATTCAATCCCTTGGGCCTGCTTTGCCATTCAGTGGGATCTTGGCTGATCTGACATTCCTCCTATCCACTTTCCTGCATTTTACCTGTAACCCTTGATTCCCCTACTGATCAAGAGTCTATCTGTCTCAGCTTTAAATATACAAAAGGACTTTTGTATATTTACAAAATATACAGCTCTCTGTAGCAAGGAGTTCCAAATACTCTCAACCTTCTGAGAGAAGAAATTCCTCCTCGTCTCTGGCTTACATTAGTACCTATTTGTTCTGAGACAATGCCGTTTGGACCTAGACTGTACCATGAGAGGAAGCATTCTCTCAGCATTTAACCAGTCAAACCTCTTAAGAATCCTATATGTTTCAATGAGATTATCCCTTCTTCTTCTAAACACCAGGAGTCGAGTCCCAAACTGTTTAATCTTTGCTCCTTAGACAGTGCCTCCATACTGGGAACCTTCTCCGAATTGCCTCCAATGAAATAATATACTTCCTTAAACGTCTTTCCTTAAATAAAGGGACCAAAACTGCTGTGAGTACTCCAGGTGTGATCTCACCACACTTTGTACATTTGCCGTAAGATTTTGTTGCTCATACTGTAACCCCCTTGAAATTAGCCCTGCTGATTATAAGCTGCACCATGTGCTAGCTCCGCATTTGATGCGCAAGTACCCCCAAGTCTCTTTGTGTTGCAGATTTCTGCAGTTTTTATTCATTTAAGTAATGCTCTGTTCTCCCTTCCAAAATGAATAACTTTGTGTTTTCCCACATTATATGGCATTTGCTAACTTCTTGTCTACTTTCTTAACTTATCATTATGTCTCTCTAAACTCTTTGTAACCCTTTCACAATTTGCCTTTCCATCAATTTTTGTGTCCTTTGCAAATTTGGCTGCAATACATTCACTTCCTTCCTCCAAGTCATTAACATATATTGTAAACATTTGTGGCCCCAGAAGTGATCCTTGTGGAATTCCACTGGTTAAAGCTTGCCAACATGAAAAAGAACCCCTTATCCCCACTCACTGTTGGCTGTCCAGTAGCCAGTTCTCTATCCATGTCAATATGTACATCCACACTGTGGCCTCTTAACTGATCACTTAACCTTTTGTGAGGTGCCTTGTTGAATGCCTTTTGGAAGCCCAAATACAGCACATTTACTGGTCCCCTGTATGCATTCTGAATGGAATTTCTTCGAAAAACTCTTACAAATTAGCCATGATTTCCCTTTCATGAGGCCATGCTGACTGTCCTTGATTAGGTTATGATTTTCCAATGTGCTGCGATTGCTTCTTCCATGATCGATTCCAACATTTTTTTCTACAATGGAAATTAATTGGCCTATAGTTAGCTGCTTTTTGCTTCCCATCCTTTTTGAATAGAGGTGTGATGTCGGCAGTTTTCCAATCCTATGGTACTTCTCCAGAGTCCGAGGATTTTAGGAAAATTAAAACCTTTGCATCTACTACTGCATCCACTGTATCTCGCTACTTCTTTTAGGATCATAGGATGCAAGCCATCAGAGGCTGCCTTTAGCCCACTAGTTTGTCTAATATTGCTTCTCTAGTGGTAGTGATAGCACTTTTTACTTGATTTCCAGCATCTTCAGCATTTTGCTTTTACTTTCGTTTCAACTCTCAGTCCTCTTTTTAGTGATGTGACACTGTTAATTCTTCCCAGTCAAACCTTTCTAGGATTGAAAATTAACTATCAGAAACCCGAGGTTTCATTCCTAAAGGTTTTAGTTGCTTTCTGAGACTTTAAAATGGTAAGTTTTCTTTTTACTTTTGTTCTGTCTCTTCACTCATCCAATTGTTTTTCTCTTTTTCTGCATCCGATTTGAGATTTAATGTAATTCCTTTAGTTTACACTTCAGTCTCAGTCCCTGCAGTGTTCATTTATAATCCTGCAATCTGATTAGTTAAGGAGATATGCAGCTGCTTTTCTTGTTCTCTTAGATCACAGAGGCCGTGTTTCCCTTGTTGTCGATTTATCATGCAAAATCATCATTACAATTAAAAAAAACAAGTGGAGTCTAACTAATGGTGGATGTAAAAACAGAAAATGCTGGAGAAACTCAGCAGGTCAATTCTGATGAGGGGTCACTGGACTTGTAGTCATACAGCACGGAAACAGACCCTTTGATCCAACCAGTCCATGCTGAACATAATCCTAAACTAAACTAGTCCCATCTGCCTACTCCCTGGCCCATTTCCCTCCAAACCTTTCCTGTTCATGTATCCATCCAAATGTCTTTTAAACATTATAATTGTATCCATATCCTTCATCAAGAAGTTCATTCCACACATGAGCCACCCTTTGTGTAAAAAAAAAAAAAAAAAAAAATGCCTCCTGTCTTTTTTAAATCTCTCTCCTCTCACCTTAAAAATGAGTCCCTTAGTCTTGAAGTTCCCTATCTTAGGGAAAAGACAACTACCATCAACTCTATCTATACCTCTCATTATTTTATAAACTTCTTTCAGGTCACCTCTCAACCTCCAGCGCTCCAGTGAAAAGAGTCCCAGCTTATCCAGCCTTTCCTTATAACTCAAACCTTCCCTATCCGGGAACATCCCGATAAATCTCTTCTGAATCCTGTCCAGCTTAATAATATCCTTTCTATAACTGGGTGACCAGAACTGGACACAGTATTCCAGAAGAGGCCTCATCAATGCCTTGTGCAACTTCACCATAACATCCCAACTTCTATACTCAAAGGACTGAGCAATGAAGGCAAGCGTGCCAAATGCCTTTTTAACCATCCTGTCTGTATGTGACACAAATTTCAAAGAATTATATACCTGCACCCCTAGGCCCCTCTGTTCTACAACACTACCCAAGGCCCTACCATTAATTCTAATAAGCCCTACCCTTGTTTGTTGTCCCAAAATGCAATACTTCGCATTTATCCAGATTGAACTCCACCTGCCATTCTTCAGCCCATTGACCCAATTGATAAGATCCTTTTGTAATCTTAGAAAACCTTTTCGCTGTCTACAGTGCCACCAGTTTTGGTGTTGTCCACAAACTTACCATGCCTTCTCTGTTCTCATACAAGTCATGTATATAAATGACAAAAAAAACGACCCAGAACTGATCCCTGTGAAACACCGCTGGTCACAGGCCTCCTGTTCAAAAAGCAACCCTCCACCACCACTCTCTTGTCTCCTGCTGTTAAGCCAATTATGTATCCAATTTGCAAGCTCACCCTGCATCCCATGTGACCTAACTGTACTGCTTAGTCTGCCATGTGGAATTTTGTCAAAGGCTTTATTACAATCCAAATAAACAACCTTTGCTGCTCTGCCATCATCAATCATTTTGATAACTTCCTCAAAAAGCTCAATCAGGTTTGTGAGACACTATTTTCCTCGCACAAAACCGTGTTGACTATCCCTAATCAATTTTTGCCTCTCTAAACTGTCCATAAATCCTATCTTGTATAATCATCTCCACCAATTGATCCACAACCGAAGTCAGACTCACAGGGTTCATAGTTCCCCGGTTTCTCTTTACAAGCTTTCTTAAACGAAGGTACGACATTAGCCGTGCGTCAGTCATCAGGCACCTCACCCGTAGTTATAGATGATGCAAATATTTCTGCAAGGAGTCTCGTAATTTCCTCCCTTACTTCCCACAAAATTCGGGGATACATTAGATCAGGACCTGGAGATTTATCCACCATTATATTCTCTAAGACCTCCCAAACTACTACTTCTGTCATATGAACGGTATTTAAAACAGCAAAGTTTATTCCTCTGCATTCTCTAGACTCCATTTTTTTCTCCACAGTAAAAACTGGCTCGCAGCATTAACTCTGCCTCTCTCTCTCTCTACAGATGTTTTCTCCAGCATGGTCTGTCTTTGTTTCAGATTTCCAGCATCCACAGTTCTTTGTTAGAAATTAATGGCTATAATTTGCTTTCCTACTAAAGACAATTCTGGCCTACTGTGGGTGAGGTGATGTGGGGATGAAATCTTACCTTGCAGACACCAACACTAGACTGACACAAGTGGACCAAAGCACAAAAAAGCATTAAGTATGTTAACATTAAAAGATGTAAGGTCATGAACGTACATGAACATAAAATCTCAGCATATGAATTAAAATGTGCTTTATAATTATGAAATAGAATGTGGTTGAGAACAAAAACCACAAACTTAAAGGCATGTTTACACTTATTATAATCTCTTGTGGTATAAAATACCTATTTTCATATGAAAAAATAATTTGTTTAAGGCATACTTTCAAACTATGTTTCAGATATATTAAACTTGAAAATGGTTTAAGCACACTTTTAATCTCTGACATGTCTGCTGGAGGAGGAGATGGAACAGAAGATAATGAGGAAGAAGATGAAGAAGAAGAAGAAATGTCTGATTCGGCCATGCAGACTGAGGAAGAGGAAAGTGACAGTAATGATGAGAATTCTGAGAGCCCCTCAGATGGTGAATCTTTAGAAGAACATCTTGAGGATTGTAATGATGAATTCGGAGAGTTAGCTGGACCATGCACTGGAAACAAAAAAAATTCCGAAAAGCAGGTAAATATTTATTTTGCATTGAACTAAATCAGTGAATCTTCTCGATAATTTTTTAATATAATTAAGTGGTAAAAAAAATCACACAAATGGCCATGAAGAGTAACAATAGCACAATTATAATCTAAAGGGCAACAAGAAGTGTTGGTGAGAATTTTGATGCTATTGAGAGAAGAATTCATGTGAAATATATTGTCCTTGTAGTTTTAAAACTCAAAACATTGCAGCAGCGAGTATCTCAGAGAAGTTAAAATGTGTATGAATATTTCATTTGGAACATTTAGGATTATCAATGAGTTCTTTTAGAATATACTTCCCGTTTAGGGTTCGGTTATCTCGGTTGGCTGGACAGCTGGTTTGCAATGCAGAGTGATGCCAAAAGCGTGGCTTCAATTCCCGCACCGGCTAAGATTATCATGGAGGATTCTCCTTCGCAACTTCTCCTCTCGCCTGTGGCATGGTGACCTTCAGGTTAAACCATCACCAGTCATCCCTCTGTAATGAGAGAGCAGCCGTATGGTCCTTTACCTTTGCTTTCTGTTTAAATTGATATTGGCGACCTTATTGTGTTTGTTTCCATTTGTAAGTCATAGTGCATTTATACACTAGAACAGTTCTCATTTAATTGCAGTCTGATCTGTCATTGAAGCAAAGTGGATTAAGACTTTTAGGGGCAATGCAGCACTCCTCTTTACTCCAATGTCAGCATGATCCTTAAGTGTGCATTAACTCTTCACAAGTTTAGCATTGGTGCAAAATGAAAACTGCTTTTCCCTTCATTAACTTGTAATGTAAATTTATCCAGGATGATCAATTAAGTTTTGCCAGCTGATACCTATCACATCTCTGTTCAGTGTCTGTTTACTTGTGAACGAGGCACTTGAAATTCATGAGCACATTGTAGGTGATTCTTTTGACATCATGGTTTTGATGCACACATAAAGAGTGATGACATTTTTCCCTGAATGAAGTGTTCCTGTCAAACTATAATTTCCAGCATCTGCCTTGTCTAGAGTGTAACACAGGAGATGTAGCTTTTATCACCAATTGACTTCTTGGACTTCTCCATTTTTACATTTCACCTTGTTCCTCTCCACTTGACTGTTGTTTAAAATCCCCAGTAATATTAAAACGTTTCTTACCACAGATCTTCACTGATGCCTTCCCTCAGCCTTTGTGCTAGGCAGTTCCCCATCCTTGGTAATTTTAACCATGCTCTCTTTCCTTTTGAATTCATTTGTCCTTTTATCAGTCTTAATCCGTCCCTCCATGTAGGGTCCGCAAACCATATTCACTGCCATCTTCTTGATTTGTCATCTCGCATGTTCTCACTTCACCTATTGTGTTAATCAAATATAAGGCTGTCTGTGCTTATTTCCGTGTTTTGTTCTCTGCCTACATACGTGAATGTACATTATTTATAAATGGTTTGGCCATTTATCATTAAACCTGGCTGAACCTCAATGATGTGTTGCTCTTGTCTTTTATTATTTATTCTTGGAAAATGGACATTGCTGGCAAGGTCAATTCTATTGTACTTGCCGAATTTGTTCTTTGAGAAAGTGCTGATTGAGTTTCATTTTGAACTACTGTAGACTCTGTGACGGAGATACTCCTAAAGTGCTGTTAGATAGGGAGTTACAGGATTTTGATCCAACGATTGAACCTCTTGCAATTTATTTTGAATCAGGATGCTGGATGTGACTTGGAAGAGAACTTTGAAGTGGTAATGTTTCCATGCTGCCATTTTCCTTGGCCTTAATGGAACTTGTTGGTTTTGCGAGTATTATTGAAGAAACCTTGATGATTTGCTGAAGTGTATCTTACAAATGGTCCACAGTTTTGCTAGTATTTGCTCATGTGGTTGGAACAAGTTTAAGCTAGAGAAGCAGGGGCATGGGGACCTAAGCAGGGTCAGAGGGAAAGAAAAACAAGGACAGTAATAATAAAAAAAAACAGTAAAATGCAACAAGGATAAACGGCGCAATCAAGGGTGAGGGGCACATAGTGCCATAGTGCAAAGAGAAGTTAGATGTTTTAAAAAATTGCAAAAAAGGCTACCCTGAGGCTTTGTATCTTAATTCGTGAAGCATTCAGAATAAGCTAAGATGGTACAAATCGAGGTAATTGGATATAATCTCATAGCCATTACCGAGACATTGTTGTAAGGAGATCACTGCTGGGAACTTAACATTCAATGATATTTAATCTTTTCACAAGACAGGAAGAAAGGAGAGAGTGGTGGGGTAAGTAAGATATGAAAAGAGGACAGTTTTGAGAGAATATCTAGGCTTGGATAATGTAGAGTCCATTTGGGCATAGGCTTAAGAGAAAGCAAGGGAAAGGAGATGTTAGTAGGAGTAGTGTATAAACCCTTAAACAGTAGCCGCAGCGTAGGGAAGGGTATAAATCTACAAATTTGGAGCAAAAGAATAGAGCAGTAACTGTAGGTGACTTTAATCTTCGTGTTGATTGGGTTAATCAAGTTGGAAAGGGTAGGTACGACAACAAATTCATAGAGTGTATCGAGGACAGTTTGCTAGAGCAATATGCCATGGAGCCAACCAGGAAACAGTTTATCTTGGATGGGTCATCAGGCAGGTTTAATAAATGACCTCGGAGCAGAAGACCCATGCCGGACTTCTGGAAAGTGTTAGACAAGGTATCTTGCAAAGGGTTAAGTCATAAGACTTGTGTCATGGTGTTGGTGGTAGTAAATTTGCATGGATAGAGAATTGGCTAATGGGCAGGAAACAGGGAGTTGAGAAAATTGATCCTTTTTCAAGTTGATGACTTGTGACCAGTGGGGTTCCACAGGGATCACGTTACTTAAATGGAGTGAAATCGCAGAAAGCTGTAACATAATGAGACTTGGGTGCAATTGTGCACAAAACACAGAAAGCTAGCACATGCATGCAGCAGTTAATCAGGAAGACTGATGGAATGTTGGCCCTTATTTCAAGGGTGTTGGAGTATGAGTAGGAAAGCCTTTTTGCACCTGTACAAGGTGAGGCTGAGACTGCATCAGGAGTACTGAGGACAGTTTTGGTCCCCTTATTTAAAGAAAAGACATCATTTCACTGGAGGCAGTTCAGAGAAGATTCACTGGAATGATCTCTGGTGTGAGGAGATTGTCCTATGAGCAAAAGCTAAACAGGTTGGGACTCTACTTATTGGAGTTTAGAAGAATGAAAGATAACCTGTTTTGAGTCAAGATGAGCTTCTGGTTACGTATCTGTGTCATTTCTGAGATCACTTGTTTTCACCCTTCACTTTGTTTAGCTCCAAGTGCTGCTGTAGCCTGCCTTCATCCATGCCTTTGTTATCTCTCAAATTGACAATTTACAACTTGTTTCTGGTTAAATGCCCTGTTCTACCCTCTGTAAACTTGACACTTGGCAGAAGTTTGTTTCCCGTATCTTACCTGGCTGCAAATCCTGTTCACCCAGCGTCCCTGAGCTCACTGACAGACATTGATTCCTGGTTAAGCAATGCGTCAATTTCATCATCAATTTTTACCTGGGTTTTTAAATCCTTCTGTCACCCCTCACCTGGCCTCATCCCTCCTTACATCTGGAATATTCCCCCACCTCACAACCTGCTGAGGTCACTTGCTTTGCTAATTCCAGGACTCCACAACATGTATGATTATGATCACTCTATCATTTGCAGTTATGCCTTCTGCTTCAATTTCTATGCTGTGAAATTCCTTCCTAAGCCTCTCTACTCCAAAAAATAACTAATGCCAGAGCTTGGCTTCTTATAGATTAGAACCAGCAATTGGGGATAATTAGTGATAATAACAAATAGTGATAACATATTGAAAACATCTGCCTTTTTTCTCTCAAAGCTGGCATTGTTGTAACAATGCACTTCCATGCTGTAAATCATTTGGATAGGATTATTGTTGTGAACTTTTAATTGTTGGTATGAGACGTATACCTAAGAATGTTTACATGTTTCAGAACAACAGCCGCAAACTAGTCCATGGAACTTAATTTCATTGTCTGGGATGGGATGATGGGGTGGTCAGAGCATTTCTGCTAAAATTAGCCTGGGTTTGTATTTCATACTTGAGGAAACTCGGTAGGTCTGTGGAGATTTTTCTTAATCATTCGGGGAATGAGGGCATCGCTCGCCAGGCCAGCATTTATTGCCCATCCCTAATTGCCGAGAGGGCAGATGAAAGTCAACCACTTTGCTGTGGGTCTGGAGTCCCATGTAGGCCAGAGCAAGTAAAGATGGCAGTGCGCTTCCTTAAATGACATTAGTGAATCAGATGGGTTTTTTCTGGCAATTGACAGTGGATTCATGGTCATCATTAGATTCTTAATTCCAGATATTTTATTGAATTCAAATTCCAACATCTGCTGTGCCGGGATACAAGCCCGGGTCCCCAGAACATTATCTGTTAGTCCAACGATAATACCGTTAGGCCGTTGCCTTCCCAATAGAGAGAAACAGAATTAATGTTTCAAGTACAATTTGACTTCTTCAGAACTGAAGGGATTAGAAAATGGGGGTTTTCCTGGCTGGCTACATAATGTCTGTTGTCCATTTCCTCTTACACTACACTTAGTAACTGCTTTGTCTTTTGCACTGAGCTTCCACACGATCTGTTCTGTTTCCTTACTCCTCCTCCACCTCTGTCAAATGTATAAAAACTCCAGTTTTCCAATCCATTTCAGTTCTGAAGAAATCGTATTGGACTTGAAACATTAACTGTTTTTCTCTCCACTGAAGCTGACAGACATGCTGAGTTTCTCCAACACTTTGGGTGTTTGTTTCAGATTTTCCAGCATCGTCAGTATCTTCCTATATTATATTCTATATTTGGTTTCCCAGAAAAGTACACCATTTTTGGTGGATTGGAGACTCTTTACGTATGTGACTTGGGCTGGACAAACCAAATACTCTTATCAACATTCATGTCTAATAATTGCTGTCCCAGCTCACCTACTGCTTGTCTTTCTTTGATTAGAATTATGAATGGCAAAGAAAATGTACTCATTTCTGTGATATGATTTGTGAAGAATAATTTGTTCTTCTCAGTTTACTGCACAAAATGAAACACTTGTTTCAGTGCAGTGCTCCATTCCTGACAAGAATGAACTACTTAGAGGTAGGTATAGAAGTAAATGTTTAAATTAGGAGTTTAAATGTCTTCCACTGATGGGTGATTTTTGCATATTGAATACTTGAAATCATTTTATACTGGACAAAATGCAGGAACAATATCCTATAATATTTTTCAAGTATTATTTTCTGGAAGAAGCAGATGAGCTGAATGGGTTCCTTCTGTGTTTTTAAATTTCTGTGAACTTTATGAAACCTGGTGTATGTATGTACTGCAGGAGGGTAAGATAAAATGTTTGTTTGTTGATCTTCCACCTAGTATTGTCTTCACTGCTTTAGGGAAAGTTTTACTTTTGGGGAATGGACAATTGTGAAAGCATTTTACACTATCTCACATCTGGCTTCTGAGCATCATTGGCAGATTCCTAGGAGGAAATTGTCTGCTCTTTTGTGAAAAAATGCGGAAAATGTCTTTTTTCTACAATTAATTATTTTCGAATGACATTCATTTTTGCAGGCAGCAGCTGCTCTTTGTGTTGGAATTGGGAGTTTTAGCGATCCTGATGATCTTCCAGGATTGGCACATTTTTTGGAACACAGTGAGTTAATCTATCTACAATCAAACATAAATATATTTAGACTAAATACTATCAGGTTATATAAGTGTGTTAATGCTATTACAGTTAATTCTGATATAGGACTTTGGATAGGATACAGTTTAATTTAAGCTAGTTAAGTTCTATGTAGCTTGACATTTCAGGTGTAATATTTGTGTTGACAAGTTGATCTTTAGATTGCTTATGCACAAATTATTCTTCAGACTAAAATTTTGATCTGTCGGGATCTTAGGATATGTTTGGGAAAGTAAGATAACTGTAATTTAAGAAATTTGCTTGAATTTAGAGCTTCCATTTAAGGATTTTTCATTGAATTTAAAAATTACATGTATATTGTTCTCAACCAAATTTTTCCTACCTTCTCTGAAGGCATTGATTGCCTGCTGGAGTTTAAGTTGCCAACATTACCTTTTCATTGCAAAGGCTGCACAGTTTGGAGTGCAGTCCACTCGTATTTCTTCAATCTACCTCTTTTGATTTTGGTTGCCACAGCTTACCACCATGACTCAACCACTATTTTTTGCTTCTTGAAGCTCTATTGGATATTTTGTTATTATGAAAACTTTATTAGTGGAAATTGGTTTGTAGGAGTAACATTACAGGTGAAAATCTCTAATGTTGGTTTGTCAAGTATTCGATTTCTCTGTTTGGAAATTGTGTGGAATTTTGACCTTGTATCAGCTGACTTGCAATAGTTGTGATTTCTGATGTGCCGCACTTCTTTTTGACATATCAACTAAAGACTGAGCAACAAAGCAGCAGCCTAAGTTTGAGTTATAAATGTAGTGGTAAGACCATAAGATGTCGGAGCAGGAATGTCTTTCAGCCCATCAAGTCTGCTTTGCCATTCTTTGAGATCATGGTAATCTGATAATTCTCAACTCTAAATTGCTGCTTTATCCACATAATGCTTGGTTCCCTTAATGGTTAGAATTCTGTCTGTCTCATCCTTGATTATACTTAAATACCCAGTCTTGACTGGCCCCTGTGATAAAGACTTCCACAGATTCATCACCCTCTGAGTGAAAAGATTCCTCCTTATCCCTATCTTAAATGGGCTATTCCTTACTATGAAATTATGTCGTCTGGCCCGAGGTAAGGGAAAACAACCTCTGCACATCTAACCCATCAAGCCCCCTAAGAACGTTGTATGTTTCAGTACGGTTTCCTCTTCTAAACTCCACACCATACTCAACTTCTTCTCATAAGAAAATCTCTTCATATCCAGAATCAACCTAGTGAACTTTCTCTGGACTGCCTCCAATGCAAGTACATCTTTCCTTAGACGAGGGGACCAAAACTGTTTATAGTATTCCAGGTGTAGTCTGGCGAGTGCTGGAAAATAGCATTATAAAGGATGGATGTTTGATGATTGGCATGGACATAATGGGCCAAGGGGCCTCTGTCAGTGCTTTAAAAATTCTATGACTCCAATGACTTGTATAGTTTTAGCAAGACCTTCCTATTTTTATTCTCCAATCCATTAGAAATAAACTTGAACGTTCCATTTGCTTTCCTTATTACCTGCTGAATTTGATGCTAGCATTTTGTGATTCGTGCACTAGGACCCCCAAATCACCCTGTTGCTGCAGCTTTCTCGATTGAAATAATATTCTGTTCATTCTGCCAAAGCTCATGATCTCATTTTCACGTAATATTCCATCTGCGAAGTTTTTGCTCACGTAACCTATCTATGTCCCTCTGTAGACTCCTTGTACCATACTCAATACTTGCCTTGAGGTTGAATGGCTCGCCGAGTTGGTTTCTTGTATCACAGACATTTCGTTACCATGCTGGGTAACATCCTCACTGCAGCCTCCAATGAAGTGTCGGTGTGTTCTGCCGCCTTGTTTTTAAACTCTGGGGTCCGTTGAGATGGATTGCCTCACTTCTGGTTTTCCTTCGTAGTGGAATGTATATGGGGTCGAGTTCAATATGTTTATTAATAGCATGCTTCGTGGAATGCCAGGCTTCTAGGAATTCTCGTGCCTGTCTCTGCCTAGCTTGCCCCAGGATTTTGGTGTTGTCCCAGTCAAAATGGTGGTTCTCCTTCTCCATGTGGATTGAGATGAGTGAGACTTTTTGTAGCCAGTTGGTGTTCATGTACCCTTGTTGTTAGTTTCCTTCCTGTTTGTCCGATGTAGTGTTTTTCTCAGTCTCTGCAGGGGATCTTGTAGATGACATTGGTCCTGTCCATGGCGGGGAGTGGGGTCTTTAGTTCAGGTGAGCAGTTGTCGTAGGGTTGACGTGGGTTTGTGTGCCACTCTGATGCCTAGGTCATAGGAGTCTTGTGGTGAGTTCCGATGTGTTCCTGATGTAGGGTAGTGTGATGAGTGTGTCGGGGCGTGTAGTATCTTCCTGATGTTCGTGTAGGCATCTTCTGACCCAGTTTTTGGATATCCATTATCCCAGAAAACCTGGAAGAGATATTGTTCTTCCTCTTGGCATAGTTCCGTGTTGCTGCAGTGTGTTGTTGCCCTTTTAAACAGTGTTCACATGCAGCTTCATTTGTGTGTGCTGGGATGGTTACTGTTGAACAAAAGCCAAAGTTGCTGGAAAAGCTCAGCAGGTCTGGCAGCATCTGTGGAGGAGAAAACAGCGTTAACGTTTCGGGTCCAGTGACCCTTCCTCAGAACTGCGGCTCTCCTTAGTTCTGAGGAGGGGTCACTGGACCGAAACGTTAACTCTGTTTTCTCCTCCACAGATGTTGCCAGACCTGCTGAGCTTTTCCAGCAACTTTGTTTTTGTTCCTGATTTACAGCATCCGCAGTTCTTTTGGTTTTTATTTGGTTACTGTTGAAGGTCAGTATGTGGTCTGTGTGTGTGGCTTTTCTATGTACTTTAGTTTGCAGTTCCCCATTTGTCTTGCGCTCTCCCATGATGTCCAGGAATGGGAGCTTTTGTCTTCTCTTCCTCTCTCTGGTGAATTTTATTCCGGTGAGGGTGTTGTTTATAAGTTTTTGTGTGTTTCCTCCAATTTGATATGTTTAATGATGACGAAGGTGTCGTCCACGTGGTGTATCCATAGTTTGGGTTGGATTGGTTTGCAATGCAAGAAACCAGCTCGGCGAGCCATCCAACCTCAAGACCCACAACCCGAGCTACAAATCTACTCCAAAATCAATACTTGCCTTACCTATTCTTTTGTCATCCATTCTATTCCATTCCAACTTAAAGTACAGACCAAATTATTTTGCCCAAGTAGTATTTACTGGTGTTTCACGTCTCCTATTATTGTAGAGAGGTTGTACAATTAAAGTGCAATTTCAACCTGATAGGTTCAATGAAATACTTTCAATCAAATTGATTTTTACTTTAAAGAATATTGCTTTTTGTAAGAAGTTCGTGACATTGCTGTTAATAATGGACAATCTCTGATCTCAGTATTTTATTTTCTGTGTGCATTTGATTCTTTGTTGCAGTGGTCTTCATGGGAAGTGAAAGATATCCTGATGAAAATGGATTTGATGCTTTCTTGAAAAGGCATGGTGGTAGTGACAATGCATCTACTGATTGTGAACACACAGTATTTCAGTTTGACATCCAGAGAAAGTATTTCAAAGAGGCCCTTGATAGGTGAGCATGTATTTGTAACCACCACACTTTTGACCCACAATGCTGTCATTGAGGATTAAGTTTATCATTTAACCCCAGAGGGCGGCTGTGGATACTTCATGGTTCATGCAGATAGCATTAATTAAAGACAAATGGGCCACTAGTCAGAGGGCAAGAACATTTGATGGGAATTCAACTTTTGCTCACCCTAAGATATCAACCAAAGATGTTCACAAGAGCTGCAACAATTCTGACTGTGAATGAACTAATATTCACTCATGTATTTTTTTATTTGAACTTTTTGTTATTGTTCAAAAAAAAACATAGATATTAGATCTTGATGTCTTCTTTTGGGGACAATGACTTCCTGAATATAAACCGTGTAGTATTTGAAAGTACGTTGGAAATTAGCTAGCCAAGCTTTCAGGCAAAATGTACACTGGGTTTAATTCATTGTCGTAATTTATCCAGTTTGTGTACACTTTGTTTCTGTGAAATTGTTGATTGTAAGGCAGAAGTTAGATATGGATCATAGTTTCTCAGTATTTGACATAATTTTGTTTGTCTATTTCTACTGTGAGCATTTAATTGCTATAAAGAGAGATGCCTGTAACTATGTTTCTAAGTTTCCTCAACTCATCGCATTCACCTGGCTTCAGTTTGATACCGTTCAATATTTTCTGATATAATATTTTCTTTGTAATGTGATAATCAAAAGCATACGTGGTACCCTAAGGATGGTATGACTAATTCAATGTAACATCATCTTCCCATAGACCTACGTTCACGCACCTTTTTTATTTATTTCTTAATATGAATTGTTCAGTCAAAGCTCAAAATCTGCTGATTGATAGATTTCTTCTTTAACCTCCCTGTGGTAATTTAATTCCACTCATTGTGTGTTTTGACTTTATATTTTGTGGATTATGTGTAACAATATACATTGAGCAGCGCTAAATTTCACTTGCATTGTGAATCTAGTTTCATCTGTACTAGATATCAATTTACATGTTGGGCATATTTCAAAATCTTAACATTTATAGAGTCATAGAGTTGTATAGCACGGAGCCGATTCTTCTGTCCTACTCATCCATGCCAACCAGAAATTGTAAATTAATTTAGTCCCATTTGCCAGCATTTGGTCCATATCCCTCTAAACCATTCCTGTTCATGAAGCCATCCAGATGCCTTTTAAATGTTGTAATTGTACCAGCCTCCACTACTTCCCTTGGCAGCTCATTCAATACACTCACCACCCTCTGCGTGAACATGTTGCCTGTTTGGTCCCTTTTAAATCTTTCCCCTCTCCCACCTCAAACCTATACCCGCTAGTTTTGGATTCCCATGCCTTGGGGAAATGACCTTGGCTGTTCACCCTATCCATGCCCACATAATTTTATAAACGTCTATAAGGTCACCCCTCAGCCTCCGATGCTCCAGGGAAAATAGCCCAGCTTATTCAGCCTCTGCCTATAGCTCAAACCTTCCAGCCCTGGCAAAATCCTTCTAAATCCTTTCTGAGCCCTTTCAAGTTTAATAACATCTTTCCTGTAGCAGGGAGACCAGAATTGAACGCAGTATTCCAAAAGTGGCCTAACCAATGTCCTGTACAGCAGCAACATGACCTCCCAACTCCTATACTCGATGCATTAACCAGTAAAGGCAAGCATCTACCTGTGATTCCACTCTCAAGGATCCATGAGCCTGCAAGGTCTCTTTGTTCAGTAACACTCTCCAGGGCCCTACCATTAAATGTGTAAGTTGTGCGCTGATTTGCTTTACCAAAATGGAACACTTCACATTTATCTTTGAATGTTTCATGTAACATTAATGTTTTGGACATATTAGGAAGACATTGGTATGTGTCTCTCCATTTTGGGTGTAAAATGAACATGTTGTTTACCACTACCTGGATTCAGCACCTCATTTGTGCCACAACTGCCATATTGGCTCCTATTGTTCTTGGATGGATTGAAGTAGCTGCTGAAACTTGTTTTGGATCAATTTAAATATCCAGTGATGGGCTTGCACTTGTTTTTGGATAATGCTTTAAAATGTGTGGAAAAGCTAGATGGAACACGTGATTTGCAAGTTCCAACTAGTTTTTCTATTATGTATGCATTTCCTATAGAACCAGGAGAGGCAAAAGCAGGGTGATGACTGGCAGTGGTACTGAGAGAAGAGCATTTGGAGAAAAACTTAAGCAAAACATGATGACCTGATTATGGGTAGGCACGTAGGCAATTAGAGAATTCTAAATGAGAATGTTCACTGGAAGAAACAAGAGGCCAAAAGAGGAAGAAAGTTCTTGGATACCATTAGATACTTGTGATGATAGCTTCTGCCTCAATCAACATTTTTTATTTCAAATATATGAACTTGAGAAGACACAATATGAAAAGATTTTGAGGAGAATAGGGTTACAGAAAAGCATCAACATTAGGATGAGTAGTCTTGTATACTGAAACGTCTGTAATTCTATGAAATCTTGCCTTTACAGTGTCAAAGCTCAGGAGTAGTCTTGTAATGTTGATGCTCCCAGATGTAGGAGCAGAAGTCCATCGAGTCAGCTCTACCAGTTAGTGAGATCATGGTTGATCTGATGATCCTTAATTCCACTTTCCTGACTTCTCCCCCGCATAACCCTTGATTCCCTTACCCTGTCAAAAATCTATCTCTGTCTTGAAAATACAACCCAGTCTTTACAATCCTTTGCAGTAAAGAATTTCACAGATTGACTGCACTCTGAGAGAAGAAATTCCTTCTCATCTCTGTCCTAACACGGTGATGCCTTCCTCTGAGAATATGTCTTCTGCTCTTAGATGTTTCTACAGCAAGCAGCAACCTCTTCACATTTACTCTGTGAAGCCCCCGAAGAATCTTGCATGTTTCAATAAGGTCACCTTTCATTCTTCTAAACTTCATTGATGACAGGCCCAACCTCAGCCTCTGCTCATAAGAGCTTCATACTCTTCCTCCATATCCAGGATCAATCCAGTGAATCTTCTTTGGTCTGCCTCCAATTTTATTGTATATGCTTCCTTAGATAATGGGACCAAAACTGTTCACAGTACTCCAATATTAGTACCTTTGTATAGCTTTAGCAAAGCTTTCTTATTTTTATATTCCATTCCAAAGAAAGGCCAGTATTTCGTTTGTTTTCTCTATTACCTGCTGAAATTGTATACACGAGGATTCCCAAATCACTGTGGTGCAGGTTTCTCTGGTCTTTTTCCATTTAAACAGTATTCAGTTCCTTTTTTTTTGCCAAAGTATATAACTTCATATTTTCTTTTGCTGAACTGACTTGGATGATATTCCTTGATAAATACTGAGTTCAGTGGTCTATGTGCAAACTCTCTGTATGATTCAGATTAATCTTTGCTCAATTATGAAGCATCAAGTCCAATTGCAGATTTAGCTGAGTAACTCACAACTCGGCGTCATCACCTTCACGTGAACTGGAGTCTGTATCAAAGATGAAAGAAACAGAAAGATAAAAAAAAAGTAAGGTTGATTATGCCTTGTACAGCAGGATGATTTGGTATCAGAGTGAATATTAGCAGGTTATAGAATTCCAATGACCGAGGATATTGAGGCATTACTCCTATTAATACCATTACAAACAGAGTACAAATGAGTTATTTTATCATTGATTAGGAACTTGAGTTTACTGGTGTTAATTATTCTCACAAATTGAGTTTCTGTTAAGTGCTGATAAAATCAAAGTTGCATTCTCCACTTTCAGATTTTTGGCTTACTTGCCACTAACTTGTTATGTCAACAATTCTCATTAAGTTTTGTTGTAAAATATCATAAAATTGTTGTGGGCTGACCACCAGACAACCACATGCAACAAATTTCTGATAATTTTCTCTTGAATCATTGTTGTTCTGTAAATGGGGAAGAAAACAGAAAACTGATTAGGCAGTGGTACAGCTGATCTAGCAGCAATCAATCAAATTGTTTTGCATGCTTTTCATCATCTGTCTGCATTACTTGTTCAATATGACGAGTTTGCAATTGTTTTGATCTTGATCGTTTATTCCGACAAGAAGTAGCATTGTAGTTCCTAACAGAATTGTACATGAAAGCATTTTGCTTTTCTCATTTCTCACACACCTGTTTCAGATAATCTCTCCTGTTTGTAATAGAGCAGCAATATAATGACATCAAAAAGTTTCTAAAACTGAACTTTGATGATTGCCTTGAATATCCTGAGAGAAGTTTTTTTTTTTAAATTGTGCATTTCTTCCAGATGGGCACAGTTTTTTATTGGTCCCTTAATGATTCAAGACACAATTGATCGGGAAGTAGAAGCTGTGGATAGTGGTAATGTACAATCTCAGTGTGTACACATTTTTTTATATTACTGACTTAGAGTTAAAGGTAATGAATATCAATAACATATGAACGTAAATTGTAGTAGGAATAGGCCATTTGGCCCCTCAAGCCTGTTCTGCCCTTCAACAGCATCATAGCTCATCTGCCCCAGGCCTCAGTTCCTTTCTTGTGTCAGTTCAGCATTGCTATCAACTTCGGATATGTCAAAAAACTAACTTCTCTTTGGTATACCCTTTTATAATTCTCTGGGATAGAGAATTCCAGTCATTCACTACTCTCTGAGAGATGAAGTTCCTTTGCATCTCAGTTTTAGGTGAGTGTCCCTTATTCTGTAATCATGTCCCCAGGTCAAGATTCCCCAGCTAATGGAGACACCTTCTCAAAAGCCCCCTCAGAATCTTGTACATTTCAGCAAGATCAGCCCTCATTCTTGTAAGCTCTAATGAATAAAAGCCTAACCCGTGTAGCCGTTCTTTATAAATCAAGCCCCCCCCATCTGAGGAATTAGCCTAGTGAATCTCTTTTGAACAGCCTCCAGCATCAATATATCCTTTTTTTTGAAAAGTGGAACCAAAACTGTGTCCAGTGCTTCTGGTGGATACTTCATCTACACCCTGTATATTTGTAACAAGATTCACTGTTTTTAAACCCCAACACCCAACAATAAAGGACAAAATTTAATTTCCCATCTCGATTATTTATTGCACTTGTATGCTAACATATTGGGTTTGATCTAGAAGATCACCCATGTTCCTCTGTGATGGATTTCTTTGGAGTGTCTGTCCATTTAAATAATAGTCTGCCTTTTGATTCTTCCTACCAAGTGTATGGCCTCACACTTTCGTACATTAAAGTTAATCTTCCATGTTTTTGCCCATGCATTCAACCTATCTATATCCTTCTAGAGATTTCTTACACCCCCTCACAATGTACCCTCCAACCTATTTTTGTATTTCAGCAAATTTGGATGTATTATACTCTGCCTCTCCCCCAAATCATTAATACAGATAATAAAATTAAGACTGTAGGACTGATTCTTCTGGCAGTTACCAGATACAAATTTCTAAGATGAAGAAGACCTGTTACTCCTGACTTTGTCTTGCTGCTGCAGTTAGTTGAACTTGTGGGCATAGAAGACTAATCTGTCATAATTCCCAACAGTCTTTGTTAAAGGTGTGGACTAAGAAACTAATGTTTAACAAACATTTCCACACTCTCTTCTGGGCAGAATTCCAGCTTGCTTCGCCATCTGATTCTAGCAGGAAAGAATTGTTATTTGGAAGCCTTGCCAGGCCTGGCCATCCTATGGGAAAATTCTTTTGGGGTAAGATGGCTGTCTTTCTTTACTTTGCTGGTCTAGCTTAAATGTTTTAATTTTGTCTTTTTATTATGTGGATTAATATTCATCTGTAATATCAATAGGAAATTCCGAGACGTTGAAACATATGCCAAAAGAGAATAACATCGATACTTATGCAAGACTTAAAGAGTTTTGTAAGCGACATTATTCTGCTCATTACATGACTCTGGCTGTCCAGTCCAAAGGTGAATATTGAGTGCTAACCTAAATGGTATGATATATGTTTCATTTTTAGGTCACACAGCAATGCTTGTTACACAAAGCTATTTGACAAATAATGAATAGAATTTCTCATGGAAAATAACGGTGTAATCATGTTTTTTCTTACTTGTACAATTGTGCCAGTGGTAGCGTCATAGTTCTCACACTAGGAAGATAGTGTAATGCCATTCTGATAGGTTTACTAGGCAATTTCAATAATAAATATGGACACAGGTATTTACAATAGAAACATTGACTGGAAATGTGCACAGCTATGTCTAGATTTTTTAGAAATTACACTGAAAGGCTTTCAACCCATGATCTATGAAATGCAGACATACTGACATCTGTAATGGTAGATAAATACTTAGAAATATTGAGAAATTGAAAAGCTGTGGCTGCTGGGCCAGAATCATGAAACAGGTGGGGTAATTAGTTTCGGTACAGTTAACTGTAAATTCCATACTTAGTTACACAGTTTATTTCTTCTACAGGAATTTTTTTTGCAACAGATAACAATGATTTTGTTGGGATCCTATATTGTTTTTGTGTTACAGTAAGAATTCCAGTTTGGAAAATAATAGGTCAGTAAAAATGAACAAAATTCATAGTTTATAAAAAATTAAAAATTGCATTCAATCAAATCCAACAGAAAGTGATGAATTAGTGTATGCGTACATTCAGGATATTCAAAGACAACACCTGTGATTTTTGTAAATAGTAAACTAGCCATAGTCTACAAAGGACCTGGGGCATTTTTTCTCCATTTGAAAGAGACTTTTTTAAATGGAGCTAGAGGAGTGCCAAGTAGCATCAACCATGGGAAAGACAAGAATGTGGGCCTCCATGAACTACAAACATGCCATAGAGATTGAACCTGTGCTGTTGATACAATTCCGTACCACATACTAGCCATCTTGTCAACCTGAGCTAACTGACTTGTCCACTATTTCCATAGGTCAATGTGAAACTTGATTCACAAAATTTTATCAATAGTTTTAGCAAAACAGTGATGTGATTGATCTGTTGCTAATTTCATCTGACCAATTGTAGAAACGTTGGATACTTTGGAAGCTTGGGTGAAGGAAATTTTTTCTCAAGTACCAAACAAGTAAGACATATTCTGTGTGTTATTATGAAATATAATGCAAAAGTAAATACTGGCAAAAATTCCTTTTTATATTTTAAGAACATTTGTGCTTTTTCAATAATTTTCTTCTCAATTTTCCCTAAAGCTTTGACTTGTTGCTGGAGTAGTCCCCTGGGAAGTGGTCTCTATTTAATACGTTAGTCAGGTAGCTAATCTTCATGCATGAAGCTTTATTACAATGACCTTTAATGAGCCATTTCATTCTGAGGGTTTTGTGAGCATAAACCTTTCCTGACTTGATAACTCCCACACAGTGGTGATCACTGGGGAGTGATGAGGACTGGAACACTGTCTATTTTTCCTCTTACCCAAACCATCTGAACTTTTCCTCCTTTGTACAGGGACACTGACTCACTTATAATGAAACTTACTGTCGTCTTGCCTGAGAAGCGCAAGCTGAGGATAGACTGGGCACTGAATCTGAGATTTCTTTGGTTTTATAATTCTTCATTCAGTGAGAGTAAATTTCTGGAGCCATTAAAGGAAGCCCAATGATACCTGTAAGCCAATTTAAAGAATGCCTAGATTCTTTAAATCAGACAAGTTTAAAAATTGTCTTTTGTCATGAACAGCTTTTTCATTTGTTCTTGGAATATAATAATCTCTGGCAAGGCCAGAATGTAATGCCTGTCCTTAACTGCCCTTGTGGATTGGTGGTGAGCAGCTGTATTGAACCACTGCAGTGCATGTGGTGTATTGTGGTTTTGTGTAACACAATATTGTTAGGAAGGGAGTTTGAGGGGGGTGATGTATTTTCAAATCAAGGTGATTTGTACTTGGAAAGAACTTGGTTATTGTTGTATCTGCATGCATTTGCTGCCCTTGGTTTCCTGGGTGGTAGAATTTGTGAGTATGGAAGGTATCATTCCAGGATACTTGGCAAGTTGTCTGTGGTACTCAGTGGAGGCATTGTATAGGTGATGGATGGATCCCTGTCTAGGAAATTACTTTGTCTTGGATAGTATCAAGCTTTTGGAATGTGATCATTAACTGTATCGTGGTACAGCAAATCAATTATTGACTTCAAATTGTTCTGTGAGTGAAATGTGAATGATTGTACTGATTTCTGAAAAGCATTTACAAAGTATATCTTTTTTTTTTCCTAATATCTCACATATGAAGTGGTCTACCCAAACCAGACTTCTCTGAATTCAGGGATCCCTTTGAAACATCCGCTTTTAATAAACTTTATAGAGGTATGTATTAATTAATTTATGGTGGTCTCACATTCTCTTGAAATGCCTTAATAGCTCAGTGTGAAAATGTGAACTCATTAAGGTTAAGGAGCAGGTGTTGCACTTCCTGCAGTTACATAGGAAGGTGCTGTGGAAAGGGGGTATGGTTTTAGTGGTTGATGAATGGACGAGAATGTCTTGCAGGGAACGATCCCTGCACAATGCAGACAGGGGAGTGAGGGGAAGATGTATTTACTGGTGGTGTTCTGCTGGAATTGTCTGAAATGGTGGAGAATGATCCTTTGAATGCGGAGGCTGATGGGATGAAAAGTGAGTACAAAGGACATCCGATGGTGCTGTTGTGAGCAATAGGAAGGGGCAAGGGAGGAAGCACAGGTAATAGGTTGGAAGACAGTCTGACTGAGTGTTATTTTGAAGGGTTTTGTTGCATCTATATTCAACATTACTTCAAATTAATCTTCAAACGTTATGTTCTTTTGCATACAAACATTTCAACATTTAACTGAAAAATTATAAAATTTATGTACAACAATTTTAATTGTTTAAACTTGCATGTTTGATAGATTCTTTTCATTGAAAAAAAAGTTGAACCATCTTATCTTACAGTTGTCCCTGTGAAGAAAGTTCACTCTTTGAATATAACTTGGGCACTTCCTCCCCAGAAGCAGTATTACAGGTATAATATTTATTATCGTGAATGAACAAGATCCTTGTGGTACACCATTAGACACTGGCCTCCAGTCACTCAAATAATGTTCTACCACTACTAAACCAGTTTCTGGGCCATCGTGGAGATAGCAAGAACTGCAGGTGCTGGAGTCAGAGTCAATATAGTATGGAGCTGGAGGGACACAGCAGGTCAGGCAGCATCAGAGGAGCAAGAATGTTGACATTTTGGATTTACACCCTTTATCAGGATTGGACTGATGAAGGGTGTAAACCCAAAACGTTGACTTTACTGGCCCCTCAAAAAGTGAAACCACACTAGCTGTCCTCCTGACCTCTGGCACTTCCCCTGTGGCCAGAGAGGAATGAAAAATTTTTGTCAGAGCCCCTGAATTTTCCTGCCTCGCATGGGATGCAGTTCATTCAGGCCAGAGGATTTGTCTGTTTTAAGCCTGACAGACCCTCTCAAACCTCTCCATTTCTTAGGTCAAACAGTGCAAGTTCCTCTTGGTCCCTTTTCTTGAATGCCATACCTACGTTCTCCTTTTCTAGAATGAAGACTGAAGAGAAGTATTCATTCAACACTGTTCCAATATCCTGTGGCTCTACACACAGGTTGTCCCCTTGGTCCGTAATGGGTCCTACTCTTTCCCTGGTTAACTTCTTCCCTTTAATGTATTTATAATCATGCCCCCCATTTGCTTTTCTAATTGCTTTCTTAAGTTCCCTCTTGCACTCCAGAGCTGCAGCTGAATTGCTCCCTTTAGACTTGCTGAAAGCCCTACCCTTCTTCTGTACCCAGTTCTGAATTATCTTAAACATCCAGAGTTGTCTGAACTTACTGCTCCTACGTTTCCCTCTAAAGGGCATATGTTGGACCTGTAGTCTCCCCAGCTCATTTTTGAATGTTTCCCCCATTGTTCTGCTGTAGATTTATCCGCAAAGAGCTGTTCCCAGTCTACTGCCTAAATGCACTCCCACTGACACATCAAACACTTGCCTGGCTTCTTTCCCCAGAATCAGATCCGGCACCGCACCGTCCCTGGTTGGGGCTTGTACATGTTGATACAAAAAATTCCCTGGATAAACACTATAACTATCCCGATTTATGTTGGAAAAGTTGAAATTCTCCAGTATAATTACCCAATTATTACTCTTAAACACCTATGTTATCTGTCTACATATTTGTTCCTCCATCTCCTGCTTACTCTTTGGGGGCCTGTAATACACTTCCTGTAAAGCACAGCCCCCTTAACTTTCCTAAGTTTTACCCATAAAGCCTCGTTTGAGGATCCTTCCAAGATATCACCTCCTTATTGCAGTAATTGACTCTTTAATGAATAGTGATACACCGCCATGCTCTTTACACCCTCCTCTGTCTCGCCTAAAGTTCCTATACCCCAGAATGTTAAGTTGCCAGTCCAGCATTACTTCAACAATATCTCTGTGGTGGCAACATGATCATATTTCCAAATGTCAATCCTTGTCATTAACTCATCAGTCTTATTATTATACTCATAGCATTAAAGTAGGAACCTTCCAGCCTTGCCTTACTCTCTTGACACTCAACATAGCTGAACTCACTGTGACTTGTTTCATTTTCTGTAGCACGATGTTTTTGTTTCATTGAAATTCTGTGTCCTCTCCCCCTGTCAGACTAGTTTAAATTCCTCCCAACAGCACTAGCAAACCTACCTGCAAAGGTGTTGGTCCCAGTGTAGTTCAGGTGCAGACATTTGTACATGCCCCACCTTCCATAAAAATGGTCCCAGCGATGTAGGAATCTAAAATTCTCCCTCTTGCACCAACTCATGAGCCACGCACATGGCACTGGGAGTTTACAACCATTGAAGTCCTGCTTATTAATCTACTGCCTAGCTCCCTGAATTCTTGATGCAAGACCTCATTCCTCACTTTGCCCATATCATTGTACCAACATGTACCACAACCTCTATCTCATCACCCTCCTGTTTTAGAGTGCCCGGCAGCCATTCAGTGACATCTCTGACCCTGGCACCAGGGAGGCAACACACCATCCTAGAGTCACATCTTTGGCAGCAGAAACTTCGGTCAACTCCCCTGAGTAAAGATTCCCCTATCATTATCACTAAATCATAACTGAACATTATACGCTTTGGACCTCTGCTTCCTATGTAGATGAGCAAAGCACTTTTGAGATATTAAGGAAAAGTACAGTTGGTTTTAAAATTTCACAGTGTGTCATTGGAGCCAATGGCAGCCTTCATACTGGCTGGAATTATACTATGCCTTTTACAAAGTGTAACCAATACAAACGTATGGTGTAGATTTCACCTCGAGCTTTCAATGCCATTAGGATAGAATTCCTTTCAAATTTACAAGTACCTGAAAATAATATCTCATTGATATAGAAATAGTAGTTTAATGGCAGCGTTGGTTAAAATAGGATATGATTTGTTTCAAGTGCTGAGGTTTACAAGGTTATTTTATGTATGTTTTAAAAATCTGTTGCCAGGATTAAACCACTCCACTATATATCATGGCTAATAGGACATGAAGGCACAGGCAGTATCCTGTCCCTGCTTCGAGCGAGGTAAGTGCTTGGCATTGTGAAGTTTGAGCGTAATAAAGATGGCAAAAATGCTTTACTATGTATAATTGATCATTTTTATTGTTGATTTTGCTATAATTCACTGCATTGGAAAGGAAAATTTTGCAATATATTTTTTAAAAAAATCATTCATGGGATATGGATGCCGCTGGCAAGGCCAGCATTTCTTGCCCATCCCTGGTTGCCTTGAAGGTGGTGGTGAGCTGTCTTCTTGAATCACTGTGGTCCATGTGCTTGTAGGTGAAGACAGAACGCTGTTGAGGAGAGGGAGCTTTTAGGATTTTGACCCAAGATATCATCAAGCTTCTTCAGTATTGTTGAAGCTACACTCATCTAGGCAAGTGGGGAGTATTCCATCAGACTCCTGATTTATGCCTTGTAGGTGGAGAGTCACATGAGTTATTTGTAGAATTCCTAGCCTGTGACTTGCTTTTGTAGCAACTGTATTTATCTGGTTAGTACAGTTGAGTTTCTGGTCAATGTTAACCCTTAGGATGTTGAAAATGAGTGATTCAGTGATGATAATGCCCTTGAATATCAAGAGATGTTAGTTAGATTCTCTCTTGTTAGAGATGGTCATTGCTTGATGTTTGTGTAGTGTGAATTTTACTTGCTATTTTTCAGCCCAAGCCTGGAATTGTCCAGGTTTTGTTGCATTTGGGCATACACTGCTTCAGCATCTGGGGAGCCATGAATGGTGCTGAATGTTGTGCAGTTATCATCATCGTCATCATCATCAGTTGTTTACTTGTCCACCATCATTCATGATTGGATATGGCAGTACCGCAGAGTTTAGATCTGATCAGTTGGTTGTAGGACCGCTTAGCTCTGTCTATCAATTACTGCTTATGTTGTTTGGCATGCAAGTAGTCCTGTTGGTAGCTTCACCAGGTTGACACTTCTTTTTCGGGTACTGCATTTGGCATGTCCTCCCCTGCACTCTTCTTTGAACCAGGATTAATTCCTTGACTTGATTTTTAATGGCAGGTTGGGGTATCTGCTAGGCCACTAGGTTGCAGATTGTATTGGAGCACAATTCTGCTGCTGATGGCCCATGGTGCCTCACAGATGCCCGTTTTTGAGTTGCTCGATCCGTTCAAAGATCATAAGAAATAAGACCGGGAGTAGGCCATTTATGCCGTTGAGCCTACTCCTCCATTCAGTAGAATCATGGGTGATCTGACATTCCTCATATCCGGTTTCCTGTATTTTCTCCATAAACCTTGATTCCCCTACTGATCAGTAGTAAATCTAGTCCCATTTGCCAGCATTTGGCCAATATCCCTCTAACCTCTTCCTATTTATACACTCATCCAGATGTCTTTTAAATGTAGTATTTGTACCAGCCTGCACCACTTCCTCTGGCAGCTCATTCCATACACGCACCACCCTCTGCATAAAAAGATTTCCCCTTTTGAATCATTCCCCTCTCACCTTAAACCTATGCCCTCTAGTTTTGGATTCAAAGAACAAACGAAGAACAAAGAAAATTACAGCACAGGAACAGGCCCTTCGGCTCTCCAAGCCTGTGCCGATCCAGATCTTCTATCTAAACCTGTCACCTATTTTCCAAGGATCTGTATCCCTCTGCTCCCTGCCCATGCATGTATTTGTCTAGATAAATCTTAAATGACGCTATTGTGCCCGCCTTTACCACCTCCGCTGGCAACATGTTCCAAGCACCCACTACCCTCTGCGTAAAGAACTTTCCACGCATATCTCCCTTAAACTTATCCCCTCTCACCTTGAAATCGTGATCCCTAGTAATTGAGTCCCCCACTCTGGGGAAAATGCTTCTTGCTATCCACCCTGTCTATACCTCTCATGATTTTGTAGACC